AAACGACTCTCGGATGTCAAGCATCAGAGAGACAACAAAGGAAACGATCCGATGTTTAACAGGCTGCAGACTCACTTTCTCTGAATCAGTGAAAAACGTTCCTGCAAACTTTCAAACTCGTCCTGCAGCGAGGCGACTAATCCAGGGAGCGTTGGAGAAGCAGAGGAGGGAGAGAGAGAGAGAGAGAGAGAGAGAGAGAGAGAAAGAAAAAAAGAGAATCCCAAACATTTTGCACATTTGTTACACAATAATACACAGTGATCACAAAACGAAATGACAAGCTTCACAATATTCATGGCTTTTTGTTTGCTTTTCTACACAATATACAACCATTTAATTTCTTTTTTCAGTACAAGGGAGGAAAAAAAATGCTTATGTACAATAAGTCATTATTACTTCAAACCTAGCAAATATCGTGTCATTTATTTCATAATCAATACATTTGTTTATTTTTTTTTTAAACTGCGATAGAAAGAAAACAAGAACTCAATCGAGGAGAAAAGAATGACTTTTGAAATCTAAAAAAAAATTAAAATTTGAGAAGACTCTGCAGTCCGAATACGAAGGTGTGTGGATGCATCTGCGAAGGATCAGAGAGACAGGAGTTCTTCATTTTCACTTTCAGCTTGGCTGCAACGAAGATGCATGAGGAAAAACTGCTGAAAACAAATCGTGACCGGCAGAAAAATGTTTCGCCCAGACGTTAAAAACATGAAAATATATTCATACATCCGATTCAAACCGTTTCAAAAAGAGGGAAAACGGATTTTTTTACAAGATTAGAAAAATGTTTTTACCATCTGTGATTTCATCCTAGGTAGTTTCAAGTTATCGGTTCATTCTCAAGACGGTGACGGCAGGTCTGGGTTTCTATCTGCAGAGTGATTGTGTTGAAGCAGAACACGCTCATGTGACAGACACAAACACGTGTGCACACAGAGTGTAGCATGATGAGGACAGGAAATGACATCAGGTTGTAGTTTGGACTTCAGAATCAGACACTCCTGAATGAAACAAACTTAGGACCAGAGGCCGTGTATAAGACGGGAACATTTCTAAAGTGGAGCCGTGCAGAAGTGCCAGGAACCTGTAGTTTTTTAGTGTGTCCAGCAGGGGGCGACTCCGCTGAGAACGTGGCTCTACGTCTTCTCAGGTGATTTATCCCCTCAGGAAAACATTTTTCCAACAAGTTTATGCTCTCAATCTTTAGTTCCAAGCTGTCTTTGATACAGTGTGATGCTCATCTTTTGTAAATTATGGTCCAAATTACAGTCTGAAAAAACAGAAAGTAGGGCAGGATTTAGGGCGGGGCTTATTGTGATCGACAAGTTGTTACCATGGTGTCTTAAAAAAAGCCTTCAGCGTTTAGTTGAACAAAAAGACACCCTGAAAATCTCACCAGCTCCAGCCTCTCATTCAATGATGTTCACTTCTGGCTCAGTAAAAACAAAATGCCAAACCCGAGGCTGTGATCCGACAAGAGTCAGCAATGTTGTCCTCTTATACACGGTCCATGATCAGGATCAATGAGATAACACGGAGATAGATCAGGTTTGTCTTTCATTTTTTTTTCAAGACAGAGAACTTAGATCCATCTTCTATCCAATGGAGCCTCGTCCAAAAACATGTCTAGCTTTAAGAAGCTAACAGCATTAGCATTAGCTCAGCTTCAAACAAAGAACTAATGTTTGCCTCTCACACAGATTCAGTTTAGATTCAGAAAAACGACAGAATCGAGTTTCAGAGCTGCAGACAGACGGTCTCCATGACAACCAACACTGAGCAATGAAAACAAGTGCGGTGAATACAGAAGTGCTGCTTTGTTAACTAGCTAAGCTCGTTAGCTGAGCGGCTAATCAACAGTCGTCCATACGAAGTGCCTTAGTTTCAATTTCAGAAAATAATTTAAATGAGTCTATGTGAGAGGTTTCAATGGCTTATGTAGAGGCTTGAAGTCGTCTGGTGAAATTCTTGGTTTCATATCAGGGAACTATCGTGTGATTTGCAGAACCAGCAGTTTAGCGCCCTCTGCAGACTCAACCTGGGATTACTCCAACACACGTTTACCTCATGATGTGAATCTTTGCCCACGTTTAGTTTGAGAGTCCAGCTTTATTACACTGTCTGTGAGTTTTTAAACAGGGATCAGAAGAACAGGTCAACTTTAAAGACGATTCAAAGTGTGTGAGTGACTGAACTGTAACGAGAAGTAACCAGCAACCTGAACAGAGACTGAGGATGAAGGTAAAACAAACAAACACTGACCTGTAGTGCTCCGCAACAGTGTTGGTCTCATGTCAAAAATGAACCTTTGCCTGAATGTCTCACCACAGTCAGGCCTTTTTTGTTGTTAGAATTACAGAAAAAAAAAAAACACTTTCGGGCTAATGCTTGCTCACGGTTGTCATTCTCCATGTTTCCACTGCATTCAAAGACTGTGTTTGGTGATTTTTAACTAATCAGTAACGCTCAGTGTTTAAGGCCCCTCTGCTAAAGTATTTCCCCCCCGAGCAGGGACTTTTAGGACGGACTTACACTGCACTATTTGAGGACGTTTATGACGTGATTTTAGAGTCACAGGGATGAATTTCAGCCCCTATCACATGTTGTTTCAAGTGCTGTTTAAAGAAGGGAGAGAGCACCGGAGAGAGCGCACCCTGATTGCGCTTGAAAATGGCGAAACAGCGTCTGAAAGCGCCATGGTGACATGCCGAGAAATTAGGAGGCCGGGTCTGTCGAGCTGTGGCAACAGCAAGCATGCCAAGTGTACATGGCTCTCCTTTGAGATACAAACGAGCAACTTCAACTTCCTTTGTTTCTGACTTCAGCTTCCGTCTGTGGGAGTTCTCAAAGGAAACTTTATTGACACTTGTCAATGCTCCGTCCTGATTTAACAGAGTGAGCACGATTGGATCGTTCCGTGTTATGATAGGACCATTGGGTGTGAGCACATCATTCGTAACTCTTAAGGTGTGTGATGACTTTCCACCACAACATTTGTACTATGATACCGTGTTTACCTGACCTACGAGAATTTATCTCGTAGGTCCCTGGCACTAAGTTTGGACAGTGATCCCTCTAAAGGTTCCTAGTCCCTAAAGAAAGCGCCTGCAGTGGAAACACTATTTCAGTAATCTCAGATCTCATGATGGATTTGTTTGGCCTCAAACCTCTGACTCCTGCATTGAGAAGGGGAAGAATTTGTCTTACACCGACTGATTTTTCAGGGATTGAACACTGACCGAACATCTGATCAGACCAGATCCACATGAGTCCAAACTGAGACTGAGGTCCAACGTTAACAGAGACCAACACCGGCAGAGGAAATCAGAATGTCATCTTTCATCATCCACAACATTCAGGACATCTCCAGCATTCAGACCCAGACCGCTCTCTACTGTAACATTCTTTTGATCTTAAAAAAAAAAAAAAAAAAAAAAAAAAAAAGTTTTCCAATTGGAAATATGCAAAGTGCTCCTCTGGAGTGAGGCGACGCGTGTGCAGAGCGTGCACACAATGATTGATCCGTGTCTCTCTCATAAAAGATATACTCCACATCCTTTTTTTCCCTCTGAAGCTAGGTACCTATACATAATCCATACAGATATTTCAATAGTGTCTGTTTTTAGCTATGTTGATTATTATCGTCTCCGGGGGCTGATACCTCTTAGGTACGCCCCCCCCCCAAATTCATCTGGAGACGCCGCAAAAAAACACAAAGAAATGAACAAACCGAAAATTAAAAGAAAGAAAGTCGGGAGGAGGAAATAGGAGGGGGACAATCAGAAAACAATCTAAAATATAACAAGAAAAGGAAACCCGGATTCTCCAGGTTTTTTAGGTACATAATCTGTGGTTCGGACGCACAAAATGTGTCTCCGCCTTCAGATTGAAGTTCTTCCCACTTTCTCAAAGAACGCGTGATGCCGAGAGGAGCCAAAAGGGTTCAGTCTGTGCATACTGTAGAACCAAAGGGAGGGAGGGAGGGAGGGAGGGAGGGGGGGAGTTTGGGGGGAAGGAGGTGAGATGAGATGGAGGGAGAATTCACTCATTTCTTCCTCTGTGAATACTGGATCGTCCTCCGGCCCGTCGGCTCCCCTGAGCCGGAGTCTGAGCGAGCAGTCGGGGACGTTTCTGTCCTGATTATCAAAGATTGTCCCGCGTACATCCATCGCTAACACCCGCTAACAGCTGCTAGCAGGAGAGAGGCTGAAATGAAGAAACCGATGAAGATGATGCCGGATGATCAAACAGGATTCTTCTGCACCGTCTGTCAGTCATTCTCTAGTTGGTCGCTCTGATGTAGGCGGGGTCTCCTCTGGATCGTGAACTTTTTCGACCCTTTCCACCACGAGATGAAACAAGTGAACGACTCTCCGTCCTCTTTTCAAGAGCTAGCAGAGCCGTAACTACCCGGTCCGTTTCTGTCGTCAACATCTTCCACTTTGTCTCTTCAAGTTAGCGAGCTAACACTTTTTACAAAGCTTCAAACTTTATGTTGCATAGCAACCAGAATGCACCCTGTTGATCTTCTGTTACTAGCAATAGTCACGTGTGAGCCTTATAATCAGGAGAAATAAATCCTAAGTGACCGAGGCCTAGAGGCTGTACGATGATCCTCGTCGCTCCACCAAGAGACGGCAGAAAAAAAAGAAAAGAAAAAAAAAAAAAGGACCAAACACAAAAAGAAAAAAAAAGAAAAATTCAAAAACAACTGAAGCAGAAATGGTACGTTCAGGTAGAATAATAATAATAATAATAATAATAATAATAATAATAGTGCTACCAACAGCGATAATAATGGGAATTATAATCGTTAAACAACGCTGACGAAGAAGATTTTTACTAGAATAAGAACGTTTGAGATGCACTGACAGTTTAGTGTCTTTGTCCGACTTGGTGGGTCTCGTGGGTTGGTTCAGGTAGGCACACGGACAGGCACTGCATGCGATGGGGGTGGGGGGAGGGGGGAGGGGGCGGGGGGGGGGGGTGTTTGATCTGGGAGTGCTTCAGTTTGGGGGTAGGAGGAGAGAACAGGGGGTGGGGCTTCAGGAGGGGCAGGTGGGCGGGGCTCATTTCTGTCCGGTGATGGACTGCGATATGGATCGTGGCGGGATCATGTCCAACAGGTACTCTCTCTGCCGGTCCGCTAAGCTGGAGCCCTTATGGGCGCCGACCGCCGCCGGGTTCAGGTAGGCGATATTTAACCCTGAGGGGAGAGAGAGAGAAACAGAAACACTGAAGGTCAGTCCTAATCTACTTCCTGTAAAGGTTTCTGTTTCTGAACCAAGATGGTGGTCTTGATACTTCTGGTTTGTAAATGGCTGCAAGTTATCAGAGAAGGCTTTACTGCGTTTAAACGTGTGTATTCAAGATGAACGTAAATACCACTGTTACTCACATCCCGTTTGTTGGTTACCTGGGATGTTGTAGATCTGGCGGCGGCTGTCGTGCTGCATTCTGTTGCTGCTGCCGCTTCCTCCGCTGCCGCAGTGCTTAGCGCTGGTCATCCCCATCAGGCTGCTGGCCACCGACAGCTGGGAGGCCTGGGCGAAGTTAGACAGGACGCCCCGCGCAGAGTTAGACAGACCTCGCTGCATGGACGCCTGAGGCTGCGGGGCCTGGGGACGAGACAAAAGGAACGGTAGCACCGTTTCTGGTAGAAACTGAGCAAATGACACAGGTGATGAATTTCAAGTAAACAGAGAATACTCAGAACATCCTGTTTGTTAAATGTCTCATTGGAGGTGGCTGTACCTGGCGGAGGGCATGATGTCGGATCATGGAATCAGTCTTGGAGGCGTTGGGGCCGGTGGCGGCCGAGCTCGGGGAGAGGGCCGCCTGCTGCTGCAGCCTCTGCTCGATCTCCTGAAAGTTTACACACAGACATAGAAATGTCAATTAACACAGATCTGTAAACGTGTAACAACCTCTTAACACTGATCGTCTTAATGTGACAGAGCCGCTGACCTGCTCCTGCTGCAGAGCCTTGACGAAGGCGTTCTTCAGCCGGTTGGTGTGTTCCGCCTTCAGAGCCTTCTTCTGATTGGACGTCATGCACTGCTCGCAGAGGATCCGCCCACTCTTCTCCTGCTTCCAGTGGGGTGTGAAGTCGGTTCTGCATTGGGCGCAGAAGAACGGCTCCATGCGGGCCAGCGTCCCTCTGAGTTTACCTGCAGGAGAGAGAAAAGGTTTTTCTTATAATCATTGAGATTGAAGTCGTTTCTCATCCGTGTTCTCGGGGAACTTTTCTGTCTAACTTCCTTCAGTTTGAGTGTTTTTGAAAATGGTGTAAACACTTCTGAAGTTCTCACCCTGACTGTCGAGCACGCTCTGCACCACCTCCTCCAGGCCCACCATGTAGATGAACTCGCTGTTGGCGGCGGAGGGCAGGAAGTGGAGTAGGGGGGCGGGGGGTTTGGGTGGAGGGATCTCCAGCAGGGTCTTCTCCAGCTGCTTCCTCAGGGCCAGCTTGGCGGCTGCCTGGCTGCTCGCCTGGTCGGCCATCGAGCTCACGCCTCCGCTTGCAGAGCCCGACATGTTGGACGGGCTGACGGCTGAGGCTCCGCCCAGTCCGCCGCCTACCCCGCCTGCTGCTGCAGCTGCCTGCATGTGGGCCAGGTTCATGTACATGGCACTGGAGCCTGAGCGCTGAGAGGCTGCCACCTGCTGGCTGGCCTGCACAGAGACACACACACACACGGGTTAGAGAGGCGGCGTTTTAAATGCTTTAAACAAAACGTGTAAAATAAAGTATTAAAACGACTGATCGCAGAGCAGACTTCAGTGAAGGTGTGAATCTGTACCTGCTGGTAGCTGACGGTGTTGCCCATACTGGAGCGGGACATCCCGGGTTTGGAGGACATCCTCTGGCCCTGCAGCTGGGCGGGGTTTGGGGCGATCACTCGCTGTGACATCAGCATGGGCGGCAGGTTGGCGTTGGCTGCTGACCTGATGACTGTGTGACCCTGCAGGGAGAAGGAACAAAAACAAACACTTTATTAAAGTGACTTAAGTCTGAAAGAAACGAGATCAACCTGTTCTGAACTTCATGTTTTTATTTATAACCTTAAAAGGCAAAAACTGAATCCAGCCAACGCTAACGAGATAACAGATTTGAGGACTGATGTGGAGACGGCTCGCAGGCACACTTTGGAGAATAAACACCTTAACGTTGCCGGCCAGCGTGGGAATGGCGCAGCGGGGGGCCAATCGTTGAGTACGGCACGGTACGGATGGCCGCGCCCTTATACTCTGCTTACTCTTTATTTTCTGTCACATCAGAAACAGTCGATAACTCTTAATGTAGTGGGAAAGTTCACGACAGGCATAAAGGTTCATTTCAACAAACTGATCCCTATGAAGTTCAGTAAATGTGTGTGTGTGTGTGTGTGTGGGGGGGGGGGGGGACTCTGCTTGGTAACAGCATTCCTCAGCGATGAGTGGACTTCTGCAGATCAACAACACAAACATGAGTCATCTGTGAGCCCACAGCGCTCCGCTCCCAGAAACTCAGCCTTCTTTCTTTTGTTCTTCAGGCACACTTTGAATCTGGGATGTTAACACGCTATAAAGAAGTCAAGTGATTATCACACGACTGAAGCATTTTCCAGCAGGCGTGCGGAGAGATCTCCCAACGTGCAACTGGGCAGCGGCTTCATGGCCGAGGCTCCAATGATTATTCAACAGAAAACAAGTGAAGCCTGCTCGCTGTCTTTTGAAGCTTTTTTGGCATTTTCATTGTTTAAAAGAGAAAACTTCCCAGAGTTGTTTCCTTTAGTTTGATGTCCACATGTTTCCAAATAAAGGAGCCTGCTGGTGTCTCATGTTACATCCTTACCGTGCTCCTTTTCTCTCTCTCACCATTTTAACTTTTTAAAAGCTTCTTCAGCTTCAACTCCTCAGATCTTCAGTTGCTCGTTTTAGTGTCACACTGCAGCTGGTCAACAAGAAGAAGCTGCTGCAATGTGAATATTGGGGCTAAGAATCTTTGGGTGTCTGACAGTTCGATTCCATTCTGATTCTTGGGGTCACGATTCGATTTAGAATCTATTTTTGATTCAAAACGAATTCTGGATTCATGTTTCAAAGTCTATTTTTGAATTAGTCCATACTTCAGGATCTACTCCAGTCATCTGTGAGACTGGCTGAATTCCTCGCTGCTCCATTTGGCGTTCTTGTCAGTTAAAGAGCCAGTTTTAGCACTAAGCAGGGGTCTCATATCTCATAAGATATGAATCTCGATTTTTTTCCCCCACCTCTAATGAATCTGGCTTCATCTTTATCCTCATCAACAGGTGACTCATCCTTTAGGTTTATTTTTAAACAAATTCATCTATGAATATACTCTGCACAAGAATCAGAGTCGGCTTCCTAAAGAGCATAGAGCATCGGAAAGTATGCAAATCAATCGACAAGCCTCAAATGATTCCAGGTAAATGATCGTGCAACAAACAACGACTGTGTGGTGCCATCAGAGAGAGTAAAGTGAGTCAGAGCAGGCAACATGTCTGCAATGTTTGTTTTTACACCAGTATTAGATTTTTTTAATCACACTTGAGTCAGAGTGTTCTGATCCTGTTCTCTTTTTTTCTCTCTCTCACTTCGTTGTCATAAATTAGTTCTGGGGAATATAAATGAGTTATTTTTGTTCTCCTTCCTCGATGTCTGGTTAAAAACAAGTCAGAGACAGTGGACCGCTTTTTGGTTTGACTGCTCGTCCTTGGAATTGACGTAAGGGATTGACGGGGGCGCTCATTCTGTGCTCAGGTTTCCTCTTGTGTCCAGGCGTTACGTTCTAAACAGATATCAGCAAGTTCAGATAATCGTTTAGTCAAGAACATTCCTCTCTTTCTCTCTCTGGGGCGCCAGTGGCCTCGTGGTTAGTGTTTGCGGGCCATATACAGAAGCTATTGTCCTCTAAGCGGGTTTGAATCCGACCTGTGGCTCTCTCTCTCTGAGCTCTGACTCTATCCACTGTCCTGTCTCTGAAGTAAAGGCATAAAAAGCCCCAAAATAAACCTTAAAGAAAACGTTAAATAGTACATTTTCTGTTCAATATTTAAAAAGAGTTGATGTTGATTAGCACTGTGTTACATCACGAGATGAAACAAACATGGTGATGACACAAAACGACTAACCATGAAGTCTGCCTCTTTTTTAAGCTCCATGACGTCTGTTTTTCGAGCAGGACTAAACGCAGCATGCATCTGTTTGAGTAAGCGGTACCTGAGCCATCAGAGAGAAGGCGTTTGTGTTGACGTGCTGGAGCTGCACAGAGCCTCCATGTTTAAAATGTACACAAACAGAGTGTGTAGTGTTCACACTGATTTAACTGTTAATGTTCCCAGTGTGGACAGCAGGGGGCAGCAGCTGATCAGGGAGCAGACTGAAAACAAACCAGGCAGAACATCTCCATCCATAGGCTACAAGCTACAAGCTACAAGCTACACACACACACACACACACACACACACACACACTCACACTGAATATTTAATAGCGGCTCAACATGTAATGGAGGAGCAGAGCTACGTCACGCAGGAACAAAGAGGCAGCCTCACAATCACACATCTTTAAAAAACGTCTTCACGATCTCACACACTCAGACTGAGCTGTAAAAAAAAAAAAAACAATCTTTGCAGCTGGACCGGTGAGATGTTTAAGGACCGGAGGCTGCAGATTGATCACGTTCACCTCTGAGCTCTGTTTTCTGTCTATTGTATGGATTTTTGACTGTTGTAGTAAAAACCAGCAAAGTCAAGACCAAGACCAAGACCAGGACAGAGTTCAGTCAAATACAAATCAAATAGTCAAGAGACAGACCGGGTAAGATGAAGGACTGATGGTCCCGTTAAAGGAGTCCTCCAGTGATTTCAAATCACAGTTTGATAATGAGGAGTCACAGCAGGCTCATTAACCAGAAGAAATCGTCCTGCAGCAGCGTTTCTGCAAGTTTCAACACATCCAATATCTGACTTTTTAAGACCTTTGTCATCGTTACTTCAGAAATATTTCAAGTTCATACTCGCAAAGAGAGGTAGGAAGTGTACCAAGACAAACCTAACCCAAATCAAAGTCAATGGATTTAATCTGTGCATCCACAAAAAAAATGTTACGCCTCAACAACCGAGCACTGTTGACCCAAACAGTGACAGAACGACAAAATAACTTTGTCTCTGATCAAATCTGCACAGTTTGCAGAGTTGGCTTCAGTGTTTTAGTCTTGTTACAGCGAATCAAAACATTTTGTTGAAGTTAACTAAGCAACATTTAAGGCAGGGTTGGTAATTTTCAAAAACTAGCATGTATATTGTAAGTAGCATTCCCTCAGTGCTCCGTCTACACCCCCTCCCCTCTGCGCTCCCTCTAAAGCCACGGACCTCACTTGCATGCACGAGCGGCGTTGCTCCGGAAGCGGACCTCAGCTCATGCTTTGAGTGTGGACTAGAGCACGCAAGAGGTAGAGAGCGAGCAGGGAGACAGGGAGGCGTCTGAATGGTTCATCAGATTGGTACCTCGTGGCAGACATTGGTCTAAGTTGTTACAGCCTTACAACTGCTACAGATGATGGGTTTTCTTTGTTCATTTTTCAGAGAACATGAGTTATTCATTTCAAAGTGGATCTGGAGGAAATGACCAACCCTGCCTTTAACTTCATAATCTAGTTATTTTTACCACCTGTTAAAATCTTTTTACTGAACTACTTCAACTCCTGCAGACTCTCTGAGTGCTGCAGGAGTTCAGATGTTGTGACTACATCCTAAATAAATGTGACATTCTCAGGATTCAGTCTAATATCATCCACTAACAGGATCGGATGAGCTGTATTTCAAACTGCAGAACTTCTGACAAGTGTTCCCAAACGCTTTACCTCCCGTGGCTCCTACATTTACCAGAATGCAATGGGGTCGTCTCTTCCTCGTTGATTGCCCACGTCCTTTCTAACTCAAACACCTCAGAGAGCAGCAAGAACCCCGAGCAGAGAGCAGAACAGGACTGATAATGTACCTGAAGTATGAAACTTGTGTGATGTAGAGATACTCGAGTTCACTCTGTGTTCAAACACTCAAGATTCAGCTCAGTGTCAGCCTGATGATTTCTACGTTTAGCCGCTCTTTATCTCCCTCTTAGGGCGCACAAGGAGACGACTCACAGTTATACCAAACCAACACACCTGCTACGTTGTTCTAAGAGCATCGTAGTTTCTATTTCTTGTGAGAAACAATCTTAAACTTTGTAACAGACCGGGTTATAATATTATGGAAGAAGCCTGAGTGGCGTAACTTTCAGTCAACCCAACGACAGACTGAGAGCTGGAGCTGAGGCTGGATTTAAGACTCTTGATGAACCGTTACATCGTGCCCACCTGTCAGCTACGCGCCTAACTGTGGATAACACGTATCGCTTTCAAAATCAAAGCACACACTGACCTGTGCGTTGCGGAGGTTCTGGGGCTCTGGGTTGTGCATGCCCGGCCTCACAGGAAGCTTCCCCAGACCAGCAGAGCTGTGGAGGGGAGGGGGCTGCACGGAGGACGCCGCGTTCTGGACCACCGGGACCTGAAGGAGACGTTAAAAAAAACAAAAACACAAGAGTTAACCAGAGAAAACATGACTTTGATACTACAAGTAACTTCCCGACGGTGACTCGGGCCACATCAGTGGTAGCATAATTATTATTTAGTTGTTATATTAAGAGAATAAATGTTGGGAATAAAGGGGAAAATAAATATATATTATTACAAGAATAAAGTGGAATACGACCAGATTCAAGTTGTATTTTTACAAGATCAAAGTCGCCACATTGAGAGAATAAAGCCATGTTTTTATGAGAATGGGGCAGCAGTAGCAGTTCGGTCTGTAGGGACATGGGTTAGGGATCGGAAGCTTTCTGGTTCGAGTCCCAGTACAGAGTAAGTGTTGAATTTGGACTGGTTGCTGCAGAAGCGACCAGTTTACTGCTGAAAGAGAGAGAGTGGGGAATGACATGCACGCACCAACCACTACACTACCTGCGTCCTGAGAGCATTTGGTTTAATTTGAGTGCAGGAAATGTTTTTGTTAAGAAAATAAGAATCATGTGAGAGAATCCTGGTCTCAGTACGAAGGGGGAAAAATTGAGTCGAGCAGCCCTAATTACAGTCAATTAAGAGGAAAGAAATCTGAAAATATTCCAGTCAGAGGCGCTTCAATCGGAGAGTTTAGATTTAGATTTTTTTGGTTAAAATGTAACTGAAATCTTTCATTCAAACAGTTTGCTAATAATGTAATAGTTAATGAAATAACTGCTAAAGCTCAACTGCTTGGCGTCTTAATCTCTCTAACTCGATGCTAATTAATGTATTAGTTTGAATTTAGTATTAATGATCTGAACGGAGCCGCAGCTGTCACAGAGGGGCAGTGGAGGATGAAGAACATTTCCCTCTGAAACGCTGCAGAGTTAAAGTATAAAACAGCAGAAAATAGAAACGCTCAAGCCGGGTAAAACGTTGAAACACTTCAATACTGTACCTGAGGATGGTACTCGAGTAAACGCATTAAGGGTGTTACATAAGCAAACACACCCCTCTGATAGTTTCACATCGTGGATTTAAAGCAGACACCCGATGGAGGCTCAAATTAACCTGCAGGTCGGGGTTTGCAACTGATTTTTGTTTTTAAGTTTGACAAAAAAAAAAAATCACTCAAAACTCTTCAATTTCTCTTCATAAAAAAATAAATAAATGATTTATGATAAATGATAAAGTTATGGACTCTCGCGCAAGTCCCCAAAGATCAACTTTGATTTACAGTCTTAACATGAGAAAATATGGGAAACATCAAAGGGGGAGTGACTGCTTTGAGGACCTGTAACTCTTTCAGCCTCCAGAAGCTTTTCAGATTCTCCAGCAGAGTTTAGAGTGTCTTCAGTGTTGTGGTATTAGCATTAGCAGCGGGGTTAGCATCATCATAATCATCATAATCGTCATCATCACTGACCTTCTGCACCACGTTCTCCTTCTGCATCTGACTCTGTCGCAGCTTCTTGAGGAGAACCAGACGAGCCTCCTCCAGACGCAGCTCCTCCCTCAGAGCTTTGATCATCTGCTGCCGCTCCTCGCCTGTCTTCCCCTGAACACACACAAACACACAGACAGAGAACGGTTAGTGAACTTCAGGGAACTTATCATACTCCTCTGATCTAAACAGCCTCTTAAGGCCCTGACTCTCAAAGCAGACAAAGAACTAGTGGCAACGAAGGCCGCCTGTGGCGTCGCCTCACGTCGCCTTTTATCTTGCCCAAAAAGTTGCACTTGAACACACCACAAAGACTACAGCCGACTGCCAACCACCACGTACGTTCTGGAAACACCTCTCCATGCCAGCAGGCGGAGGTAGTCGTTGTTATGATACGAGAAGACCATTTTCACACAGCTGTCGCTCACCACTCGTATTATAAGTAGTCTACTAATGGAGAATAATGTCTGATAAAAAGTTGAAAATGGCGCTGGCGTTGTCAGCTCTTGGTCTTTTAGTGGAAAAAGAAAAGAAGAGGCGGAGGAGACAAATAAGGAGAAACCGAACTAATGGGTGAAAGCATGGAGACTACAGCGACATGCTCAAGGAGCTTTACTGAACCTGAGAGGAGAGCTGGAGAGAAATGAAACCTCCCAACAGCCAATCAGAGAGATTCCTCTCACCAACTGCAAAGACGCCGACGCTGCTGATTCAACATGCCGAATTGGCTGAATAAAGGCAAACGGGCCGACGGGTAGCAACGGAGCTAGACACACCACAAAAACTACGGCGACAATCGCTCACCTTCGGTCCAACTAGGGCCGACGGCAGACGATCTCCTCGGTGTGTCAGGGTTTTTAAATACGCCTCGTGAAGAGGTATCAAGAACAGCGGTTTGACATCTGAGTTAGTGTTATACATGGTTTCTTTATATTCTCATGTTTGATGCAGGACATTAAGGTTCGATGTTTTGAAGCATTTGTGGTAAAAAACAGGTGAAATGACCTTTCACCTTTCTTGGCTCAGAAGCCACTCAGAAACCTTACAGCTGTTTTATGAATCTTAAGTCCTTTTCCTCCACTCCAAACATCTGTACCATGACAGTCTGAATAGAAGCACATCAAACCCCAAGCTGTGTGACCTATCTGCTGTGATTTATTGTCTTTAGTTGACGTTAAACCCAGCTAGAAGCCTCTCCTGTCTCCTGTGGAGGACTGTTATAAAGACTTGAGACTAAGATTGGACAGAAAAGCAACCAGCTGCACAGAACGATCAAAATAACGGCATCAGGCGGTATATATTTAGAGTCACTGCATTTAAGGAGAGACGGGACATCGCACCTCCCTCCCTCGCTCTCTCTGATCACCTGCAGAGCAACTTGAACTCTTAACAGTTGAGAGTGAGTGCAGATCCTGTACTAGTTTATCGATCTAGATGGGGATCTTACAGGGATAAAGAAAAATGCAAAAATGGTAAGCAGTATACTTAGACCGCCCAGGTACGGGTCAATGTGTGAGAGACACTTTCATGAAGACTTTATAATTAAACTTCTCAGGTCAGATAATCTGAAATTCCAGATAAAGAATCACATCCCTGATTCACGGGTCCTTGCGTCTGAGTTTCCCTCTTCTTTCGGTTTATGCTTAGCTTTAGCTCATCTAGTTTATTACGCCTCACGCCTTTGCAGAGCAGTCGGTCAAGTACATTTTTTCTGCTTGCTCTGTAAAAATCTTCCTGTCCTGGAGAACCGTTAACGTTGAGGACCTCTGTTCTCCTCTACTACTCCTGCTAGTGACACTAAATCCTTCTGTATTTAACTATTTAATTTCCTTCCTATAGTTGATTTCCATGAGGTTTGCAACAGATAAACCTCCTAAGGAAACCCATTTTGTGCACACTCTGCAGCTGAAACGTCAAAGTAATACACTCATGATATTTCTCCATCCAGGGCTGCAGAGGCAGATGTTTCTCCGACACGTTCTCCAGGTGGAGGTTCAGGTGTGAGCACCTTCCAGTGGTTCAGTGAGGGCTGTTAGTACCTTGAACATGTCCAGGTTGGCCTGGTGGAGGCGCTCCTCAGGTCGAGGTGTCGTCCTGGGACTGGACGCCTCGTTGTCTGACAGGATGATGACGTCTGGAGACGGAGTCCGTCTGTCGTGGTCTGTTTCACTGTGACAGAAAATAAACGAGACAAACAAAACAATGAACTTCAATGACCTCCGGAAATATAGTTCTTGACTTCTAAACTTGATTTTTATTTACTTCGTTTATGTTTTTTTACAAACCATATAATTACAGACAGCAGCTTTGATGCACGCTGGTCCCAAAATAATTTCACCCTGTCATCTTTTGTAAAAGAATGTACATTTTGTATTTGAGGCGCAATAGTATACCACAATGAGCAGCAGAGTAAACAGTGTTCTTAATGTTCAGCCCAACCCTCCACTGCTGGGGATTTTATTCTCACCATCTCCTCCCGGCGCTCATGTCCACCGGCTCGTCCATCATGTTCTCCTTGCCGTTCTTACTGGGTCCAACATGGCCGCCGTGGCCCCCCCAGCCTCAGACTACCATTCATCTTCTCCTCGTACGCGGCCCCCATGAGGCTCTGGTGGTGGAGGGAGCTGGCTCCGGGGCCCTTCCCGTCCCCCAGGGGCCCCGCCACGTCCAGAGCCGCCAGGTCGGCCAGGTCTTTGCGTTTGAGCAGGGCCAGCATCTTGAGGCGCTCCATGGCCTCGTGGCCCTCCATCTTCAGGCGTTTGGCGAGCGCCTCCTCTCTCTCGCTGGGCGACTCCAGACCTCGCTTCAGCAGGTTGAGCCTCAGCGCCTCCTCAGACATCCGCTCCATCCTGCAGGAGACGACAGGGGGAGAAGAGACATTAAACATCAGGATCTCACAGGCACTTATATAATTTACACGTAAAGGTTGACAAATGTTTTGATACCAGTAGTATCAAATGGAACAAAACCTTGTAAAAAAAAAAAAAAAAAACTTCAGATCTTTCGTCATGTTTTTAACCAAGAGCAGCCGTGAGAGAAAAAGAGAGAGCAATGTCGAAATATCACAAATACATACAGAAACATGTCCAACATGTTTGTTTTTTTGGAAATTAAAAACAAAAAATGACACTATATTGGGGGCCTAGCTAGGACTTCTATGTTTTGTTGCCATGGCATCCAGACCATATTATTTTTTACTACCATCATATTAAAGTATAAAATTCTGGTATCATGTCAGGCCCGATGCTCAAGCAGCCAGAACAGGTTTATGAGAGACTCTCACACCCGTGTGACGTCACATCAGCTGCACGCTGTGTCGCAACATTTCTGTGACTTTAACATCGGGACATTTCAGACGAGTGGACTGACCACCTGCTCGGTTTGAACTTGTTTCTTGTGATCTTTTTTTCCCATTGTCTCTCAAAAAGGTGAACAATAACAACGACGACATCATGAAGCAGTTTGTTAAAAGTCTGAGTTCAGTCTTTGTCAGCTCTGTCTGAAGGAAGAGACAACAGACAGCTTTAAAATAATTGTCACTCAAACAATGTCAGGAAATTCTTGCTTTCATTACTAATCTTTCCAAGAAAACACTGAACTCGCCAAATTCTCTTTGCAATGACAGAAACACTGGTTTGACTTTAGTTCTTAGCGCGATGAATGTCTTCCAGGAGAGATCAATCAATGAAATCGAGAATGTAAATGGTGACGACACCAAAAAAATTGAATAACAGATTAGAGTCAGAACCGCTGAAGTCGTCCAAAACCTTTTTTTGATACGTCAAAGATTCCTTCACTGAGTGAGGGAGATTGATTCCTTCGTCACAATTTCTGAACATTTTGTTGAAGCAGTAATCAGAAAGCAGGGAGAGCCTCTGGTCCTCATGGCTGCTTACTGATATCTGTAACATAAAAAAGCCTTTCAGAGGAGACGCTCTCTGTGCACCGTTGGTCATCATGACATACCAGCACACCTGGAGTCTGCAGCCATATTCTACATAACCTCCTCTTGAGTTCAGTCTGATTGGCTGGCACACTGACTCAGCCTCAAGCAGCCAATCAGGAAAGACTGAAGGAGAAGGAGGATGCAGGCGGATGGAGGGATTCTAGTCTAGGTAAGACAAATGAAGACATTCGGGGGTGCACGTTTCTGATCTTTCATGCACATTAACACGTGAAGACTGCAGGCAACATACTTCAGTAGAAACCAGAGAGTATGGAGGCCTGGAAGACATCACTGGCATACTGATAAACAACCCTGTTACAAAAACAACAATAATGTCGCCTATGAGAATTTTTTTTTTTTTTAACTCGACAGATAAATCAGACGGCCGATATTAGCATATCAAAGAAAAATGTGTGTTTCTCTGTCCTGTTGTTATTCTGGCCAATAAAGGCTTTTGTTGTCTTATTTATAAATCTTTTTCACAAGTGTTTGAAAACACTGCATTTGAGGGATCAGCGCAATAAATCAGAATCAGAAATACTTTAATAATCCCAGAGGGAAATTCCTTTCAATATCTATATAAATCCATCTGTAAAGATCAAAAAGAGATCTAAGTAAGATATAGGCTGATATATCGATGTCTGAATTCACTCCCTTATATTGGTATCGGCAACAAACATCCCAAATGGGTCGGGCCTTTAAAAAAAAAAAAAACAGTTATCTCTATTCATTATGTATTTCCTTTTTGGTCACCTGTTTAACATTTGTTATTTTGTATTTTTTCTTTGTTCTGTTCTGTTCTGCACTCTGATGTCATGTTAGCTGTGTTATTCACTTTCATGCACAAGAAGAAAAATATCCAACTGGATAAGTAAAAAGCAGGAAAAACGACACTCTTGAAGTCGCCCCGGCACCCTCAGAGTCGATGCATCAGCCTGAATCAAAGACTAAACTCTGAACATCCTGATCCTGGTCCAGCCCTGACTACGGTGATGCAGGACTATCAGAGGGTCACTAAAATCCTTCAGACTGATCCTTCACTGAAAATGTAATCTGTTTAAAGTGTCCTGCCGGATGGAGGGACCTCCATCGTTTGGCTGCTGTGCTCACGCAACAAAAGACGACCCCGCAGTGTGAAACGAGGCGATGCTTAACCCGAACGACCTGACTGACCTGAGATCAGTGCAGTGACACGTTAGCATGCACCACGGATAAATAAATGATCAGCTGATGGTTAACTCGTTCAGATGGAAATGGGTTGAAGACTAAGAATAGCCTGGTTCTGTACTTCACCATGACAAATACACAACAGCAGTGTGTGTGTGTTGGCATGTGATTCATACCAGTAAGGAAGACCTTTGTACGGACGACAACATCCCAGTCTTATGAGCTCATTAGCTGAGCCATGTGACCATGCAGTGGACCAATCAGGGCGCAGCAGCAGAGGGCAGGCTGGACGAGGATGTGACAGAGCAGAAACACTTCCTGCAGGGCTGCGTCCAAATGCATCACTGCGGATACTCCCTGTATCTGTTTTGTTGCACATTATTGATGCATACTGTAATTTCTCCTCACTGTTTTGATTCTAAAAGCAACAGCTGCTCCCCCTACTGGCTGGCTGCAGTATAGGTCATAAGCTCTGCCTCCTCCATGTTGACAGATGGGACAAGGGTCAAACTATAAAAACAAAAATACATGTCAAAGAAATTCTTCTCAAAGTGGTTTCTCTCAGTTAGTTCTCACTGTGCTGATTTATGCCCAAGGGTTATTTTTTTGTTGACAAGTTCAGTTATAATTAGTTATTTGATGAGTTAAAAAGGGTCAAGGGGGTGCAGATGGCCTAGCGGTTAGGTTGGACCCCATGTACGGAGGCTGTAGTCCTCCAAGCGGCGGCCCAGTTTCAAGTCCGACCTGTAGCTCCTTTCCCGCATGTCATTCCCCACTCTCTCTCCCTGGATTCCTACTCACAACACCATGATTGACAGCTTTGTTGACAAATGAGGCTCCTGCGCTGCTAACACAGAAGTCATTGAACTCTCCATAACCGTGAGAGTCTGCTTCAAGCCAACATAAGGATCTATTCTGCTGTGGACTGAACTCACCTAAAGGGGTTCTTTTTACGGTTTATCGATTAAATGTGTTTTTGTGAGAGGAAGGGGCGGGACTTCATTATAACACCTCATACAGCAGATATCTCCTGCACAGACTACGAAAGACAAAACCAATGCAAGTATCCATCTTTAACCAAAGTCAGCGTTTGCGACGTTTAACCTTACATTGCTGTTTTCTCAACACCATTCTGTACGGTTGGATCAAATAACAGGAGGCTTCGAACAACCCTGCAATAAAAAAGTGTTTCAGTTTAGGATAGTCGGTCATTGTTTGAAGACTTGTGACCACACGCAGCACATTGTTTCTGCATGAGTCAGAGCTCGAGTACATCAGTCACATGAAACAACAACAGCTTCAGGATGTGGCCCCGACATATCAACCCCCGAAAAAGTGACTGTATGAGGAAAATGGAGGAGCCCTAAAGTAACATCCAACATCGACTTCTGTCTACAAAAGATCCCGACATCAAAACCACTTCAAGGATTTCACAGCTGCTCAGTTTTTAAAATGAAGAAGAAAGTCAGCACAGTTGCACAGGAGTTAAAGTCGCTCCTGGTTTCCGCAACAGCCGGCAGTAAACTGAGCAGATAGTAAACATGGAGGGCTGCTGTCACTGAGACTGACCTGAATGTGATGTGATAACTAGACACGCTCTTGCACTTAGCACACTGTGTTAGCATATTAACCATTAGCTCCTGTGAACTTTTAGAAGGAGAGAGGAAGCATATTCCTCCCAAGTTGCCTGCTAGCTCATGATGCTAATCAAGCTAAATTTACAGCCTTATTCAAAGCAGATAACATAAACCAAGTCAAACCACGGGTGCCGGCTGCGAATCTAGTCTCAGTCTCCCCGTCTGATACCCAGTCTTTGTCTTTTAAATACTTTATTTTCGAACCCTGTTGGTCTAAACTAAGGAGAAGTAGCTAAAAATCTGAATCTTAAAAAGAACTCATTCATCTTTGATCCCTACGTCTGAATCGTTCTTCTCTTCAGGTGTAAACTCAAAATGCAGGCTATAAACATGTTTACGGTGCATCCCCATCAGGAAAACAGACAAATCTTGCAGATTTCAAAATGAGCCTTTGTTACACCTAACAGGTATTTTTACTGAGGACCCGACCAGAAATGAGCTTCTCTATTGTTCAGTATTTTGACTCACACACATGACCTTGTTTGCTAAGTGTTCGTGCTTCAGCCGCTGATGAATCGATTTGTTTTCTTCGTCTCCAAATTGTCAAAACTTAAAATTGTTTGTTGAAGCAAGAGTTAGTTGGTTTCCTTCCACTGTCAACAACCCCAAAAATATTCACTCCGCTTTCAGAGGAAAAAAAAGAAACAATATTCCTCACATTTAACGAGCTGCAAACGGAGAATATTGATCGTTTTCTTTGATAACCTAACGAGTCGGTTTGATAATAAAGCAGTGGACCATTAATCGATTGAAGAATTGTTGCAGCTCTGCCACTGCTCCAAGCATTGTTTTTTTTTTTAAAAGCATGTTTTATGGTGTTTTTTGTTGTTGTTGTTGAATAATAAATATTACTGACTTCCATTGGCGTCTTCTACACTGTTTGAGATCAGCGTTATCTGAGGGACACACTGCACTCTAAAAGTAAAGGTTGAAGTATTCACCGAGTTCTAACACATCCTGTTCTGTGTGTGTATTGATCATGTTTGACTCTTTCATTCTGGCCTTTCTTCCTCGGCGGTGAGAGACGCTCCATCATGCGTGACCAGACCACATGCAAATGGATGCTCTCATTTGCGGCGCTGCATCGCTGCATTAACA